AGTGAACACACAGAGTGAACACACAGAGTGAACACACAGACTGGACACACACAGAGTGAACACACACAGAGTGAACACACACAGAGTGAACACAGAGCGACACACACAGAGTGGCACACACAGAGCGACACACACAGAGTGAACACAAACAGTGAACACACACAGTGAACACACACAAAGTGAACACAGAGAGTGAACACACACAGAGTGAACACAGAGAGTGACACACACAGAGTGACACACACTGAGTGAACACAGATAGAGTGACACACACAAAGTGAACACACAGAGTGAAAACAGAGAGTGAACACACACAGTGAACACACACACACAGTGAACAAAGAGAGTGTGTGTGTTCACAGACACAGAGTGAACACAGAGTGTGAACCACACAGAGTGAACACACAGAGTGACACCCACAGAGTGAACACACAGAGTGAACACACACAGAGTGAACACAGAGCGACACACACAGAGTGGCACACAGAGAGTGACACACACAGAGTAAACAGAGTGAACACACAGATTGAACACACAGAGCGACACACACAGAGTGAACACAAACAGTGAACACACACAGTGAACACACACAAAGTGAACACACAGAGTGAACACACAGAGTGAACACAGAGAGTGAAATCAGAGAGTGAACACACACAGTGAACACACACACAGAGTGAACAAAGAGAGTGTGTGTGTTCACACACACAGAGTTAACACACACTGAGTGAACACACAGAGTGAACACACACTGAGTGAACACACACAGAGTGAACACACAGAGTGAACACAGAGAGTGAACACACAGGGTGACACACACAGAGTTAAAACAGAGAGTGACACACACATAGAGTGACAAACACAGAGTGAACACACAGAGTGAACACACAGACTGGACACACACAGAGTGAACACACACAGAGTGAACACAGAGCGACACACACAGAGTGGCACACACAGAGCGACACACACAAAGTGAACACAAACAGTGAACACACACAGTGAACACACACAAAGTGACACACACTGAGTGAACACACAGAGTGACACACACAGAGTAAACACAGAGTGAACACACACTGAGTGAACACACAGAGTGAACACAGAGCGACACACACAGAGTGGCACACAGAGAGTGAACACACAGAGTGAACACACAGAGTGAACACACAGGGTGACACACACAGAGTGAACACACAAAGTGAACACACAGAGTGAACACAGAGAGTGACACACACAGAGTGAACACACACAAAGTGAACACAGAGAGTGACACACACATAGAGTGACAAACACAGAGTGAACACACAGAGTGAACACACAGACTGGACACACACAGAGTGAACACACACAGAGTGAACACAGAGCGACACACACAGAGTGGCACACACAGAGTGACACACACAGAGTGAACACAAGCAGTGAACACACACAGTGAACACACACAAAGTGAACACAGAGAGTGAACACACACAGAGTGAACACAGAGAGTGACACACACAGAGTGACACACACTGAGTGAACACACATAGAGTGACACACACAGAGTGAACACACAGAGTGAAAACAGAGAGTGAACACACACAGTGAACACACACACACAGTGAACAAAGAGAGTGTGTCTGTTCACAGACACAGAGTGAACACAGAGAGTGAACCACACAGAGTGAACACACAGAGTGACACCCACAGAGTGAACACACAGAGTAAACACAAACAGTGAACACACACAGTGAACACACACAAAGTGAACACAGAGAGTGAACACACACAGAGTGAACACAGAGAGTGACCACACACAAAGTGTACACAGAGAGTGACACAGACAGAGTGAACACACACAGAGTGAACACACAGAGTGACACACACAGAGTGAACACACAGAGTAAACACACACAGAGTTAAAACAGAGAGTGACACACACACACACAGAGTGACAAACACAGAGTGACACACAGAGTGACACACACAGAGTGACACACACAGAGTGAACACACATAGTGACACACACAGAGTGAACACACAGGGTGACACACACAGAGTTAAAACAGAGAGTGACACACACATAGAGTGACAAACACAGAGTGAACACACAGAGTGAACACACAGACTGGACACACACAGAGTGAACACACACAGAGTGAACACAGAGCGACACACACAGAGTGGCACACACAGAACGACACACACAAAGTGAACACAAACAGTGAACACACACAGTGAACACACACAAAGTGACACACACTGAGTGAACACACAGAGTGACACACACAGAGTAAACACAGAGTGAACACACACTGAGTGAACACACAGAGTGAACACAGAGCGACACACACAGAGTGGCACACAGAGAGTGAACACACAGAGTGAACACACAGAGTGAACACACAGGGTGACACACACAGAGTGAACACACAAAGTGAACACACAGAGTGAACACAGAGAGTGACACACACAGAGTGAACACACACAAAGTGAACACAGAGAGTGACACACACAT